CGCGCGCCCCCTGGAGGCCGACGGGGGCTGGGCGGCGCCCGGGGTAGCTTTCGCCGCGCTAATTCCTCGGACTGATTGCCAAAGATACCGTCGAGGGCGATTCCCGATAAGGGCAACTCTTATTAGATAAAGGAAAGGAAGAAAAGAAAAAGATGTGATAACGTGTCGGCACCCTTCGTCGCGGGTTGACGGTCCAGAAGCTTTCGTAAAACCGCAGAAATCTAACTAATTTCCTCGGTCAGGATGAAGAATCATTATTTTTTTTTCCTTGGTGGATTTACTTTGACTTTTCTTGTCCGTAAATTATACACTTCCAGGCCACGAAAGATGAAAACTCATAAAACCGGGTTATTCCCAGCAGAGCGCGGCCTTTTTCCCTGCCCCTTTTTTCCCGCTTCCCTTTTTCTAACTTAAATTTTAGCATTTACGAGAGGATGGCGCTAAAAAAAATCCTGCAGTTAGTTTATAATTGGGTCGGGAGTTCCAGAAGCAATGCGGCGATTTTTGCCATTTCCTCTTTCAGGTACTCACAGAGCTGGGACAGTCTGGTAAAAAAGCTGCAGCCGTCTAGGAAATTCCAAGTAAATTTCTTTTCAATGTATTCCACACGAATAACTTTTGAATTTTAGAATCTATGAAGTCGATGTTACTTACTTGCATCACTTAAATGAACATAAACATGCACACACAATGGTCGATAACAACAAAAAACGAAAATCAACCATTTGCATCTCGACCAAAGACCCGCTTTGTGTTCCAGTCGATTCCAGTCCAACAGAAACCACAGTCAACACACAGAGACTGAGCCGGAGCCAAACTTTTCTAATGGAAAGTTAACTCGGCTCTTAACCTAATTACGTTCATGTATTTCCCTCAGATCCCGGGAAAAGTGATCATTCGTTTTCAAATCAGCAACGCAAGGGCGCCTAAGGCCAGGGGAGGAGAGAGGGAGAGGTGGGAAAGTGGGTGGAATGGCGGGGAGAGGGCGGGGAGGAATGGGAGAGGAATGGAGAGGGAAGGGGCGGATGAGGAGACGGGAGTGAGGAGACGGGAGCGAAAGGGGACAAGCGAAGACAACTGGAAGAAATGGAAATGGTCTGGGTGGAAGAGAAAGAAAAAAAATATGCAGACGAATGGATATACATTAGAGTAGATGGATAGATGACAAACAGAGAGAGAGAGAAGAGAGAGGGAACGAAGGGAAGAGAGAGAGAGAGAGAGGACGAGTAGAGTGTGAGGAAGAGGAGAGAAAGAGAGAGAGAGAGAGAGAGGAGCGGGAAGGCAGCGATGACGCCGAGGAGAAGAGAGGAGAGAAGAGAGAGAGAGACGAGAGAGAGAGAGAGAGAGAGCGAGAGAGAGAAGAGAGAGAGGGAGAGCGAGAGAGAGAGGAGAGCGAGAGAGAGAGGAGAGAGAGAGCGAGAGAGAAGAGAGAGAGAAGTTTAGAGAGAGAGGAGAGAGAGAGAGAGAGAGAGAGAGAGAGAGAAGAGAGAAGAGAGAGAAGAGCGAGAGGAGAGAGAGAGAGAAGAGAGAGAGGAGAGAGAAGAGAGAGAGAGAGAGAGAGAGAGAGAGAGAGAGAGAGAGAGAGAGAGATGAGAGAGAAGAGAGAGATGAGAGAGAGAGAGAGAGAGAGAGAGAGAGAGAGAGAGAGAGAGAGAGACGAGAGAGAGAGAGAGAGAGAGAGAGAATAACACAGTGGCAGGAAGAGATGGAAAGGCAAGAAACGTAGCTGGCAGGAAGGAAGAGGGCTCGCGCGCCGGGGTCTTGCACCGGCAGGAGGCGACAAACATGGAATGATTTTTGGAGACAACTAACCTCCGCCGCGGCCGCCTCCCTTCTTCCCTCGAAGGGAAAGAGGGAAGAGGGGGACGGAAAGGAAGAGAGAGAGGAGGACGAAGCAAGGGAGAAGGGGCGATAATGGGAATTTGTTGGGGTTGTACCTTTGCCTCGAGAACGCCAAGTTTCCGGGAGCCGCAGTGTGTAAGCGGGCCAAGGAGCGGATGTCGCGCACGAAACCGACGTTCCTGGCCAGCGCCATGCAGTTTCTCAGGTACTGCGTCACCATCATGACTGTCACGCTCGAGAGTGCCACCGGTCTTGGCTCCGCGTGCCATGAGTCCGTCGCCTGGGTCCGTGTACCGCGGTCCTGTCGCCTGGGTCTGATTGTCATGATCTTGTCTCCTAGTTCTGAGTTTCGTGTTCGGATGCTCACTGTCGCGATGCCCTCTCCCTGGTCGTGTGGCCTGCCCTGTCTTCTAGTTCTGAGTGTCATGACCCTGCTTTCTGGTTCTGATTGCCATGAACCTCTTCCCTGGTTCTGAGTTACTAAGCAGTCTTACGTCTCTTAATGCTGTGATCCTGTTTTCTGGCTTTCACGCCTCAGTGTCCTGGTTTCCCTGCTCTAGTTACGAGGTTCAGATGATGTTATCGACTTGGCACCAGTTAGAAAGCTAGACATGTTAAGTATATGGTGGATTCAGTTTTCCTCTTGCGTCATTTGACCCAATTACATTTCCTTATTAATCAAAAGGCTGAAATTGTGACTGTCACTTCTAAATTAAAAATGCAAACGTCAACATTTTTTCCTCTCACTGGAACTGGGAAAGTCTAGAATCTAGAAGTCTAGAATCTAGTAAAGAAGATCTATCGATAAACAAATAAACAGGAAATCGCGCATTGCTCGTGTAAGAATATTCACACACACAGACTGACACACAAAGCTGTTCGACATGAGGCACTCACGTGGGCTCGGCGGGCACCTGCTGGTCGGCCGTGAGAGCCTGCGGGCGGGGCATCAGGGGGGCCACGCCTTCCTCGCTCGCCAGGTCCTGCTCTTCCGTCCACCAGGCAGCTGAGGAGGACAAAGTACAAGGCAGCTGAGGATGCTGTTTATGACGGTATTTACCAATTTTGTATTTTCTTCGCTTAATTATTGAATGAGATTCTATTTTTGTCATATGGCATCATCGATTAATGTCTTAACCTATTTCCCTTTAAATATAAATATTCATGGGAATATCCGGTTACTTACGTGTATAAGGCTGATGTCTCGGGTGTGCCAGGGTGGTAGGCGGAGGGCACGTTATGCCGGTTCTACAAGAGCGAGTGTTTGATGGGCGGTGGGCGGGATCGCAGTGTCGCGAGGAGCGGCCACGGGAGTCCCTGCAGAGCACCACCCTCGTCTGCACTCCGTCGCCGCACTTAGCCGAGCACTGGAGGTGGAGGAACATTATTAAGATACTTCGGCATATGAAAGTACATTTCTTATTGAATATTCTGAATACATCCAACTTTTTCATCGCATTCCACCTAAATGTTCTTGCGATAAATCACGTAAGGCTCTTAAATTCCCACTGTGTAGCATGAAGCCGTACCTGCGACCAGATGCCGTCGTACCAGCGCGGGCAGTCATGAGTATTGCAGGGCTGGCGGTGCGGGGGGCGGGGCGAGGTGCAGTAGTGGTCGGCGACGCGGACCACCGAGGTGTTGCGGGGCTCGGCGCAGTACACCTCGCGGAGCTGGTATCCCGAGCCGCAGGACACGGAGCAGGAGCCCCACTCGCCCGTCTGCCAGCTGGCGAGGGAGAAAGAGGCGCTGGTGAAAGGGGTCGTTATAGATATCGGCTTCTTAATAGAGACACATTCTTGACTCTTCCATCTCTCTCTCCCTTTCCCTTCTCTTCCATCTCCTTCTTTATTTCCCCTTTCTTCTTTCCCTTTTAATTTTCCCCTTCCTATCCATATCCCCCTTTCCCTCTCCCTCTCAATTTTACTTTTCTTATTTTCCTTTCCTTCTTAATTTTCCTATTCCTTTTAATTTTTCCCTTCCTCTCCCTTTCCCTCTTCCGACGTCGAGAGACTGGACGGCGGTCGCGGCAGGGAGAGTCTCGCCATAAACACTACGGATCTTCCCGCCACATTTAACTATGATAATCAAGCTCGTGATGGCGGTGTTTCAGGAAATTTACGACGGGCCGCCATAACGACACATTCCTAGAGCCATGTTATATCTGATGCACATAGTGTATATTCATACACTATATATATATATATATATATATATATATATATATATATATATATATATATATATATATAATATATATATATATATATATATATATATATATATATATATATATATAATATATATATATATATATATATATATATATATATATATATATATATATATTATATGCGTGCGTTCGTATGTGTGTGTGTGTGTGGTGTGTGTGTGTGTGTGTGTGTGTGTGTGTGTGTGTGTGTGTGTGTGTGTGTTGTGTGTGTGTGTGTGTGTGTGTGTGTGTGTGTGTGTGTGTGTGTGTGTGTGTGTGTGTGTGTGTGTGTGTGTTGGTGTGTGTGTGTTTGCATGTGTTATACACAATGAAAATTGATCAACATAACTAAGCAGTCAAACTTCCCACGTCTAATACGCGCTGTGAGACTGAGTCAACAAAAGCTGCGCGATGAGTCAGCAAGCCATAAGCAAGAGAACCACAGTGCAATCCCCGTAAAAAAAAGAGAAAAAAAGAAGCGAAACAAAAAAAGAAGACTTCTGACTTTCTGAAAAGGAAATGCCAATGCTATTTTCCAACCGCCAAAAAGTAACATATCCATACACGATACAAAAAAATGGCGGGCCAGGCCAAAGCAAACTCCCCGTCATGGCACTCTGGATAACATGCGGCACCAAAATAACAGAGCCGAGATTCCCCTCTGAATGAGCACGAAAAACGAGGGCACACATAATGCTGTGTATGTGGTTGCTATGCTGCCACGGGCGACGGTCGGGTGATTGGATTTTGAACGTTCCTGCAGGACCATAACTGAGACGCATTTCTCAAGGGGACGGAGATTTCTACCAGGAGGGAGGGAGGGGAGGGAGGGAGGAGAGGGAGAGGGAGGGGGAGGGAGAGGGAGGGGAGGAGGGAGGGAGGGAGGGAGGGAGAGGGAGGGAGAGAGGGAGAGAGGGAGAGGGAGAGGGGGAGAGGGAGAGGGAGAGGGAGAGGGAGAGAGAGAGAGAGAGAGAGAGAGAGAGAGAGAGAGAGAGAGAGAGAGAGAGAGAGAGAGAGAGAGGAGAGAGAGAGAGAGAGAGAGAGAGAGAGAGAGAGAGAGAGAGAGGAGAGAGAGAGAGAGAAGAGAGAGAGAGAGAGAGAGAGAGAGAGAGAGAGAGAGAGAGAGAGAGAGAGAGAGAGAGAGAGAGAGAGAGAGAGAGAGAGAGAGAGAGAGAGAGAGAGAGAGAGAGAGAGAGAGAGAGAGAGAGAGAGAGAGAGAGAGAGAGAGAGAGAGAGAGAGAGAGAGAGAGAGAGAGAGAGAGAGAGAGAGATACGGGTCAGCTGACTTGATCATCCCCACTAGTTCAGGACAGATGTTATAACTCCTCTGCATTTAAGATGATCCCTATATCAAAATCAACAAAAATAAGCACCAAAACGAACAATCAATCAATAATCCATCATCCATCCCTTAAAAGAGAGAATCGCCGACAAACTTCCAAAAGAACCAAGCATCTAACTCAAAAAGTCTGAACTTGATAAAAAAAAGCTCTCTCTCACTCCATACTCCACGCCCAACTGCAGGCAAAACTCATCCTTACGCTGCCTTCCCCTTCGGCGCGTGTAAAGTCCGCTCCCGAAGAGTCACTCCAAGAGGGGACTTTACCTCCCGGAAGAGTGGGAAGCCGAGAGCCGTCACAAGGGCCGCCGCTCCTTCCCGCACGACCGAGGTGGAGAGTCAACAGTCCCCTTCCTTAAGCATCGACAACCACGCATCTTTTAAGGAAAAAAGAAAACAAAACAAAACAAAAAAACAAGGCCCTTAAGTACCGGTAGCCACGCCCTCTAAGCATCGAAAACCACGACCCTAAAGTATCGGTAACCACGCCCTTTAGGAATCGAAAACCACGCATCTTTTAAAGATGAAAAAACACGGCCCCTTAAGAACCGGCAACCATGCCCCTTAGGCATCGAAAACCACGACCCTTAAGTACCGGCAACCACTCCCCTTAAGCGTAACCACGTCCATTAAGCCGGGGAGAACCACGATCCCCCCCCCCTTAAGCATCTGAAGAGTCGCCCCCTTGTTACTCCCCCAAGACTTAGCGACGGCGGTGCGCGGAAATGATCAAGCGCGGTCGGGTGGAAACGCAAATTCCGACTCCGTTAGAGAGAAAGTGCGATCTGGCGGCCGCCCTCAACAGGAAATTTGGAGGAAAAGTCTGATGGTGAAATACTGAGGGCGCTGAGGGGGAAGAAGGAGGAGGGGAGAGGGAAGAGGGAGGAGGGAGGGAGGAGTGAAGGATGAGGGAGGGGGAGGGGGGGAGAGAGGAGAGAGGGAGAGAAGAGGGGAGGAGGGAGGAAGGAGGCGGATGGAGGAAGAGAAGGGAGGGATGAGGGTAAGAAGGGGAGGGGAAGGAAGGATGCAAATAACTTGGGAAGAGAGGAGTCAAGGCAGGAGGTGGGAAGGGAAATAGAATTCCAGAAGGGCGGAAAGACAGAAAGATAAAACAAAAATGAGAATAACAAGAAAGACAGACTTGTAAAGAGAAAGGATATGCCTATAAAAACACGCGCACACACAAAGCAAAAAAACAAAACACAAACAATGAGCGACAAGCAGAGGAGGAGGGGACGAGTAGGCGAGTGAAAGGAAGCGAGTGCGGAAGGGCTAGTAAGCCAAGAGGAGGCGAGGGCGTCAAGGAGGAGGAGAATCAAGAGGAGAAGTGGGGGAGGAGGAGGAGGACAAGGAGGATGAAGGGGAAGCAACTGTAAGTGGAGGCTGGACCTACGTCGCTGCTGTACTTCGCTGTTCTCGCGACCGGTGCTGGCCACGCCGCCGCTCGCGAGGCCGGATATGATGCTTTTCCTCTCGGGGAAGCGCCGCACACACGCGCTTTTTACACACATCATCGCTGCCGTGCACATGTTCTCTATTTCGTGCAACTTCAGTCTCTCTCTCTCTGTGTGCCTCTGTCTCTCTTTCACATACACACAGAGACACACACATGCGCTCACACATATACTGTCTCTCATACACATACATATACACATACACACAAACACGCACCCAAACACATATAAACTCACTCACTCTCTCTACCTCTCTCATTCACACAATTCATACACACACACACACACATACTCACTATCTCTCTCTCGCACACACACACACACACACACACACACACACACACACACACACGCACTGCAAAGCAGGGAAAGCATACATTCATACACATAACCTTCAAATCGTCGCAAGCATAATAAGATCCGCCATAAAACGACAATACAATGCATACATTTGCATGCGGACGGCCGGTCGCCGACACGCAAGCAGCCTCTCCTCGCACCTAGGCCTACGATCGCCGTAGCAACCAGACGTGGACGGCGCTAAGATTCTGGCGCGAGAACGTCCGCTCGTCGCTTTTTACGGTCGCACTTTAATTTGGCCGAAGTGGCTCGCATGCGGACCTTCATTTCCTTATACGGGTCAAGAGTGGGGGGAGGAGAGGGGTTGATGAGGAGGGCGGAGACAGCGCCTCTTCCTCCTTCACTCCTAGACTCCCCTCCTTTCTTTTCCCTCATCTTTTGCCCCCTTCTTCTTCCTTTCACGCCTCTCCCTCTTCCTCCTTCTTCCCTCACCTGTCTCTTTCCTCTTCCTTCTTCCCCTACATCTCCCTCCCTCCTCCATCTTCCCCCTTCTCTCTTCTTCCCTCATCTCTCTCCTTCCTCTTCCTTCTTCCCTCATCTCTGATCCCCCTCCTCCCTCCTCCCTCCTCCCTCATCTCTCTCCTTTCCTCCCACCTCCCTCTTCTCCACCCACCTCCTCTACACCCCACCTCCTCTCCGCGTCTCCCTGTGTCTCCTTCCTTTGATAGTATGACCACATAACCTCCGGCTATTACTGATGACTTATTGTTGGGAGTCTGCTGGTGATGACACTCGTAAGGGCCTACTGCTGGTGAGACGCTACGTGTTTTATTATAATAAAATCATTAATCAGACGCTTCTTTCGAATGATAAGAGGGAATGAATTTAATGATCATTAAAAAAAACGAAGTGCCAAGGCCTTAACTACAACAACCTACTTGCAACTGAAATCCGAACCTATGGTTTCACCCGTTTTTATAAGCTACCCAGAATTCCCAACCTTCCCTTCCACTCCTCCCTTCATTCTCAACTCGTCCCTGACATGAAAAATCAAACCATAAAATCCGAAAAAAGTGAGGAAGGAGAAGGCTGCGAGGAAGCGCAGGGAAGTAGCCGGGTGGAAGCTGGCGGGGCGTGCGGGTAAGGGCCTCTCCCATGTGGCTGAAGGAGGGGCCGAGGGGAGGCCGGGGAGCATCCGAGGGAAGGAGGATCCAAGGGAAAGGAAGTGCCTCGGGGAACTTAGCACAGGACGTAGGTTTTCAATCTGACTCTCCAAGTATCACTAAAAAAATGTTAAAAGTGGGTCCTCCACATTTGCTATTCCGCAAGATTTAAAATACTCTGGTATTTTATTTTGACGCTGGCGAACGCCTCTGTTGTTCTTGTTTCACATCTCTGCGTCAGCGATTATCAAGAAAAGAGTTAACTAAATTGATCGTCCTTTGCTATCTCTTCCTCTCGTTGACGTGAATAAACTGCATCTGAATATTGCAGTTAACTTCCGGAGTGAATACGGAGCGAATATCGGCTATTCTAAACAATTAAATACTATTTATACTGAATCGATGCTTTGCGAATCGAGTATTGTCTCAAGTCTTACTACGAGTCCCAAGCGTCCTTCTTGATCTTCTTGTGCGTGTGTATAAGATGCGCGAGCGCTTGTGTGTGTGTGTGTGTGTGTATGTACGTGTGTATGACAGAGCGCCCCTCTGCCACGTTTCTGAAGAGGCCACGGCACTTTTACGAGGCATAAACCATCAAGAAGGAAGTAACTGCTTGATCCTCGGCTCATCACAAACCATCAGGCAATAATTCTGTTCTACGCCGTGTGCCGTATCACTGTCCTCGCCGCTATTACCACTGTCATAACACTATCAGCTTCACCATCACCGTCGGGAGAGCAAGGGAATCGCCTCCCTTGCCAGCAGATTTTCCCTCACTGCCGCGTCTCGTCTTCTCGTCTCTTACAGTCTCACAATCGACGCTGCTTATCGCCGCCAGGGAACTGGACTATTCAGCATAAATCCATTCTGTTTTGCGATTTTATCGCTCCCATCCCTCCTATTTAAAAAATAATGATTTGTTTACAGAAAGATGTCACATCAATCATCAACTAATCTCCATTAACATTATTATAATTGAAGATCGCAAGTAACTCACGCCCTAACAAATGTACAAAATGTATGAATGAGAAGGAATAACTTGACATAGTAAAACGCGTAAACGACTCGCTTCGACGATATACCTCCAACGGCATGCCACGCGATGACACAGCAGCAGAAAAGCGTCAATGACAACTCATAGCCGCGTGACGTCATTCGCTCTCTCGGTCGCACCTTTTCTCCTGGCGCCCATTCTAATGACTTAGCAAGGCTGGAAACGCTCCACTGCCTCGCTCTACACTGCAACACCATAAAACGTTCCTCGGGAGACAGACAAAAAAAAAGGTGATGCAATTCACCATCTCTGCCTCCGCATGTCTTGAGTCTCGAGGGGGAAAAAAGAGAAAGAGCGAGACGGACATCAAAATGCCAGCTGTCAGAATGTACAAGTGACCATAAAAACCATCACTAATAATATGCATGCCCATAAGCCTCAGCAGTAAACGAAGAAAGCCGGCAAAGAAAGGGCGGTAAAAATAGCGAGAAAGAGAGAGAGAGAGAGAGAGAGAGAGAGAGAGAGAGAGAGAGAGAGAGAGAGAGAGAGAGAGAGAGAGAGAGAGAGAGAGAGAGAGAGAGAGAGCGAGAGAGAGAGAGATAAAAGGGTTTAAAGAATGGAGAGGGAGGGAGGGAGGGAGGGAGGGAGAGAGGAGAGGGAGAGAGGGAGGGGAGGAGGGAGGGAGGAGAGGGAGGGAGAGGGAGAGGGAGAGGAGAGGGAGAGGGAGAGGGAGAGGGAGAGGGAGAGGGAGAGGGAGAGGGAGAGGGAGAGGAGAGAGAGAGAGAGAGAGAGAGAGAGGAGAGAGAGAGAGAGAGAGAGAGAGAGAGAGAGAGAGGAGAGAGAGAGAGAGAGAGAGAGAGAGATAAAACGGTTTAAAGAATGGAGAAAAAAAGCATTTCCCCTTGAGGTCTACATAACTATTTCAGCGAGGGACTGACCAGACAAAAAGATATTAATTGATTCCGGCACTTGGATAAAATACTTTAGAGCGGTTAGCATACAAAAGAGATGGTTAAGTGGCAAGGACAGCATGGCGAGGGGGAATTTGAATCTATTTTTCACGGCGCATACGATCGTAAACCACACACGAAGTATTAGGGTTGTCGCCTCTACGTCAAACTACAAACCGGCGCACCAAAGCCTCGCAATAGGAAGTTGCATTTACTTATATGATATATATAAAGAAGCGCCGGGAGGCCGCCCTGCCCCTGGGGATCGAGCCGTCTTCTGGGTGATAAACTTTATTGCTGGCTTTTCGTTCCTGTAACTTCATTCGCTGTATTTCATTTCTAGCAGTCTACACGCGAGACTAAATTATGCGATGGCATATTTATCGCGTTAGTACAAGGGAGCGGGCGCGAAGGCCGCTGCTGTGGGGGGCTGCGACCTGCTTGATGCTAAGGCACACAAACATCTCGGAGACAAATACATACACACGAACATAAACAATAACACACATGCACATGCATACACAAACACACAAACAAACACGCACACAACACACACAAACAAACACACACACAAACATGCACATACACGCACAAACACAAAAAATAAAAATAAAAGTAAACAAAAGCGTTCACACATTCAGTATTTCCAGTCACACAGCACAAACCCCGTCCCCGTTTAAAAAAACAGAAGGGTTTGACCGAATGGCGTTCCACTTGATGAAAACTGCCAACCGACTCAAGGAGACAGTCAACTTTCTTAATTAAAGTGCGCAAGTTCTTAACTTTGTCCGCAGTACAGCAAAAAGTGCAATGATTCATATTTTTTTGTCAATGGCATTGATATTTTTTGCTATCACGGCTACGCTTACTATTTCTTGTACCACGGTGATGACATTTTAATACGACCTCGAACTGAATGCAAATAATTGCCATGAGTGACACTAAGTAGGTTTAATTTGGCATTATAATCACTACCGGATTTTTATAAAAAATACAAAATCCTTTACAAGATCAGTGGAATCATAATAAGTCCTCTTTCATCATTATTAACATTTTCACAGATATCGCAGAAATAACAAAACTTGAACATTTACAACAAAACAGTACTTCTGATGATGAGGATAATGATAATAATAATAATAATAACAACTGCGATATTTACTTTCTTCATGCTAATTTCTTTATATAAACAGAAAGAAAAATATAAGTCACCCCTGTCTCCTCGTTCGTTCAACCCGATCACCTGCATCCACCTGGACGTCGAGCTAACCATGAATGAAAGCAAATACCCTATGCAAGACCTACCGCACGCCCCGTTCTTCGTAGCAATAGACTGAAAAAATATCACACGTTCTTTTCTTCATGAAAATAGACTTAAAAAATAGCGCACGTTCTTTTCTTAATAGAAATAGACAAAAATACCCCAAATTTCTTTATAGAAATAGACATGAAAGTGCCCCACATTCCTTCCTTCATAGAAATACTTAAAAATACCGCACCTTCTTTTCTTCATAGAAATAGACGAAAAATACTGCACGTTCTTTTCTTCGTAGAAATAGACTTAAAAATACCACACGTTCTTTTCTTCACAGATATAGATTTAAATCTCCCTCCCCCCCCCCCCTCGTTCGTTGCACCTAACCGTACCTGGTGGGGCAGGCGTCATCGTTGCAGTTGAGGATGACGGGAATGGGTCTGGCCGCGTGGTCGCACAGGTCCTCGGCCACCCTGCGCCCTGTGCCCTGCTCCACGCACACGCCGGACAGCATCTGGTACCCTGTGGGAAGAGGACATGTGTTACGGTGGTCTTTGTGGTGTCTTTATGGTTCAACTGTTAAAGTTCTGATCATCTGTGTTGATGTCTCTGTCTGTCTGTCTGTCTGTCTGTCTCTGTCTCTCTGTCTCTCTCTGTGTGTTGTGTGTGTGTGTGTGTGTGTGTGTGTGTGTGTGTGTGTGTGTGTGTGTGTGTGTGTGTGTGTGTGTGTGTGTGTGTGTGTGTGTGTTTGTGTTAAAAATCTGGATATAATAAGAATGATTCACTTATTGAATCATCAGGAAGAGCTCTTTTGCTAAGAAACACCCATCATAAAATAAGCCTTACCGCCTCCGCAAGTAGCAGAGCAGGGTCCAGTGGGCCTTTTATCCCAGTAATAAGAAGGCTTGTTGCAGGTGCTGCCGTCTCCCCCGCAAACACCGCAAGCGTCCACCGTTTTCTTTGATCCGAGGCGTAAGTCGCATCCCACTTT